TGGAAGACCCACACCAGCCATCGTATGCCGGCCGTGAAAGCCTTCGACAATCTTTGTGTGCTCTTCCTTCTTGATGCAAGCCTGTTCATCCTTACTCCTTGTTTTCTTGGAGGACCGATCTGTTTCCTGAGTCAGACATGTGCAGATCACCACGAGTAAGGAAAGTGCTTGACAGAATGGAGATATACCAAATTCATCTCTTAGTCACAGAGTTCTTAGGTAAGAGATCTAGATTTCATTAAATATAAGGAAAAATATCCAGACAGTAGTAGTCTACCAATGGAGATTTTTAGTTCTCTATCTCCAGAGGGTTTTAAGAATAGGCTGGCCAGCCACCTGGCCAGGTGCTATTTCTATACACAGGACAATGGTGCCTCCAAATACTGGACCATTAGATATTTTGCCTTGCTGCTTAAGCTAGGTAGGAAAAATCAGGGGAAACAACAACCACCTTAAAGACTGACATACATTCTTTGTATGGCACTTATAGTGAATAGGACCCATGTCACTGTTGTAAAGAACAGAATGGATATGAGATGATGAGAGAAAAGAAAGTAGTAGGCAAGGGACGGATTGTAAGATTGTAGAAAAGACCTTCCTTGCAATCTAGTGGAAAGTACATAAATCCATTCAGCCATTATTAGTCAAAAGGAGCTTTTATGATTATAAGCAACTCATTTCTAAGTAGCCTCAGCATCAAGTAAACATTGAATGATTTAGCCTGTAATACAATGCTGGCTAGTATTGGAGGAAAAAAATTAGATGAACCAATGGAGAAAGTTAAGTTCCAAGTCTTAAATTTGCCTTGTTACTCCTAATATTTGCTCAAATAAATTGTATGGCAGACACACATTATTACATGAAGGTAAAGCTCCTACTAGGAGAGTATCAGCAACAAGTAGTAATGAATGAATATTATTCATAATATTATTATACATTATAAATGTAATGAAGAAATCTAATACACAGAATCTAAAAGAAGTGCAAGTTTTTTTTCTGAGGCTCAACCGAGGTGAAGGCAAGAAACAGAACTGAGGGAAGGGTTATGTGATTTCTTCCTTTCTGAATAGTACAGGAAATCACCCCAGGTTTGGATGCCTTCTTGCATTACAGAACATCATTATTTATTAATATCTTAGCTCTTCATTTACAACAGATCTGTTCAACAGGTGAACAAATACAAAAAAAGTACAAACTAGAAATAATGCTGTAAAGCTGTATTTAATTATTAATTCAATATTAATGTACCAATATAGAACCATTTACTCAGTGCACAGGACAGCCACACCACGTTCATAGAAGCTACGAGGATCTTCCTTGGTAGCAATTTCAAAGTCAACAGTGAAGATCAGATCAGCCCGAGTAAAGTTCAGATAAACAGGCAGGGTCACCTGTAAAATAAGTTCAGAAGTTGGTTAGGAGGATGGAAATATACAAGGAGAACAAAAACAGCATGCATAGCTGAAAAGCGTGAGTGAAAAGGCCCCTTCTCTTACCACATTAGACTTTTTATCAGCATTTGTCTGTCTGATCCAGCGAAGTTGAGTTATGGGCAGTACTGTTGAAATAGCATTGGAAAGTGACAGCTTGTTGTTGTTACACGTGGCTCCTTGAAGTTTCAGCCCTACAAAGTAAGGGGGAGAGCGCTATTTGAAATGTACGTTCAAATTTACTATTTCATCTATGAGAGTGTCTGGTTAATATATAAGTTACATTTTCATTTCAGCAAACAAAAGGAACTAACCCATCATCAAAGAGTGACATTAGGTGCCTTTCATCAGAACACTTTCTGACACCAATTTTCAGTTCAGTTTCATCTTGTCCAATTCAAAGTGGCTGAAATGTATTGACTAAAATAGTGTGCACAGTTTTAATATATTTATCTACTTCCTCCGATGAGCTCAGTGCACACTGTTCACTAACTCTTCTTGTATTTTACACTAATAATCATTTTTAAGGTATTTTAGACCAGGGTTTCTCAACCGTAGCAACTTTAAGATGTGTGGACTTCAACTCTCAGAATTCCCCAGCCAGCAAGCTTTAGACCAAGCAATGGTGAGTGGCCCACAGTCATCCAGTGAGTCTCATGGCTAATTTGGTTCTCCATCATTTAGTTGGTACTTTGACTATTAGGACATAAAGATTCAGATTCTTAGCTTATAATAGCTGCAACATTTTTAAATGCATAGGGCTCTATGCCAGAATCTATGGTGATTAATCCTTTTTCTTTTTTAATTTATTATTGAAATACTGAAATATAAACAAGAAAAAGAAAGAAAAGAAGATAGAACAAAAGAATGGCTACTGAATATAGATTAAAAGCATTGTGAAGACTTTTTGGTAACACATTCTCCCCTTCTCTTCCCTTTGTGTCCCCAACCACTGGCCATATCTATACTTCACACAAAATGTTAAAGATTGTCACTGGTTTCTGTTTAAGTCCTAGAAACCATATTCCAAGTGTCTACCTTGTTGTGCAATGTGTTCTATATCCATTCCTGTTTGAATTTGGTTAAACTTCTGTTATGGATATATACTACCAATTTTGCCATGGCAGCATACTCTTCAATTTTAGTTTCCAAATCAAATATCCTCAGCAAGGTTTCTCTTTTCCATATTTCAGTAAATTGTGATATTTAAATTTTTGTTTTCTGGAATTATACCTAATAAAAATATCTGTGGTTGGCAGTTAATCCTTTCAGGTACAGGTAGTCCTCACTTAACGACCACTCGTTCAGCAACCGTTCGAAATTATGTCAGTACTGAAAAAATGGACTTACGACCCGTGCCTGAAGTTATGGCCGTTGCAGCGCCTCTGTGGTCACATGATCAAAATTCGGGCACTTGGCAGCCTGCCTGCACTTACGACCACAGGGGTGCTTCAACTCCCCCACCCACCTATCTCCCCCCCATCTATGCCCTTTTGGCCCCCTGCTGCCCTGCGCTCCACCGCCCCAGCTGACCTTCAACATCATCTTGCTTTAAGAAGCCCCTTTGCAAAAAGCTCCTGGAGTGCACTGCACAAAAACGCTTCTTTGTAAAAAGCTCCGGGGCAGGGTGGGGCTGGGCTGGGCTTTTGCTTTGCACTGCGAAAAAAAAATCCCACTTTTCCCTTCCTCTTTTTTTTTTTCTTCCCCCACAGGTAGACTGGCCCACTTCTGGGAACTTCAGAGTCCTCTGGCTCCAATAGGTGGTAGACTGGGCCCTTGCGGCCCCCTTCGACCCTCTCCCTTCTGTTTTCTGTAGGTGCACCTGTCCTCCTCCTCCTTCGGCAGCCATATGGACCCGGCCAGCCTTAGCCCTTGGGGCTAAAGCTTTTGGTGCGCTATCAAAAAAACAAAAGCCAAAAGCAGCACCTGAGCAGCAATGTGCCAAAATGTCTCTTTGCAAAAAGCTCTTAGGCAGGGTGGGGCTTTATTTTTTTTTTTTGCAGGGTGAAGCAAAAGCCCAGCCCAGGGGCTTTTTACAAAGAGGCATTTTGGAGCAAGAAGATGGCAAAGGTCAACTGGGGCGGTGGAACACAGAGCAGTAGGGGGCTGAGATGGCATAGATGGGGGGGAGATAGGCAGGTGGAGTGAGTTGCAGCACCCCTGCAGTCATAAGTGCTGCTGGGCCAGGGTGGGGCAACTGAGGCTTCCAGGGGTGGCTGCAGCTTTGCACCACACTGCAGCATTTCCCCAACTTGTGTGTGGCCTGTGCTGGGCCTCCCCACCCACCTGTGGCACTCCCACACTCCTTACCTGGGACTCCCCCCGCTTGGTTAATGACAGCAACTGGGAGTGCCAGGATTGTAGTTGCTAAGCAAAGTGGTCAATGACATCTTGCTTTACGACCGCATTGCTTAGCAACAGAAATTCCAGTCCCAATTGTTAAGCGAGAACCACCTGTATGTACAACAGCACTCCATTAGTTTAGCAGCCTCCTGAGCAAGTGGCCCAAAGGGAGCCACTCCTAGCGACCACTTGGATTAAGATTGTTTTCCCCTTTCAATATTCCTTGAAACCAGTCACCAACATAAAGCAGATATAGTTAAACCTGAGTTTTTACCTTTTCCTAGCTGAAGAATTTCCTTCCCCCCATAAAACAAAAAACAAAAAAACGAGGGGCAACTAACCGGTTACTCCAAAACTGCAGGCATCCAATACTGCATTCTGAGTGGTGGTAACATTGACTTCTAGGCAGAGTTCTTCCAGGGACCAGCTGTTAGCTTGAGCTACATATTGCCTTGTAGCAGTAATGTAAGCCTCGGGTACAAACAGGCCTCCCAGGCAGACATGAATGTTCTGTGGAACAAATGTGTAACTGAGTTAATTTGATGGATGTCGCATGAAATCAATACTGACAGGCAATTTTAAATCAGAATCTGAAACTTTCTCATATTTTTCACACATCCCAATTTCTTTCTCCTTTGGTCTCATTTCTTCAGAGCATTCTTATTCCATTCACAGGAATCCTAGGCCAGAATCAAGATTTGCTGGGAATTTTTTTAATGAAATATGGTAAGCCTATTCTAAATTTAAACAGCACAATTTATAAAAACAGTGTTTTGACAGTGTGATCAGAACTGTTTTAGGACTGCAAAATAAAAAAAGTGGCTTTGGGGACACATGCCATTGATGGGCTGTCCTTCCCTACTCTAGGCCATTTTGCTTAAGTCCAATTGCTTGCCCTGTTCCTCTAGGATATATTTCAATAACTGAAGCCAGAATCCGGAGGTCTGTTGTCATAGTCTTTATAGTAGCATGTTTCTAAGGTTTCTTAAATTTTTATTTCCTGTCTTTCATTAAGGCTTTCTACCAAGGACTAAATGTACCCATTCCAATAGCAAAACTACATCCAAACTGAAATGCTACTCCTTTGTATTTTGGGGTAAATGATACTGCATTTAACAGAAAATCACATTCTAACCTACCTTTAGTTCCTTTGCACCACCTGAAGCAGCAGCCTGGGAGATATTCTGCAGCTGTTTAATTCGTTCGCTGAAGTCAGACACCCACTGTATGACTGTCATGCCAGCGGGTACAGTATAGTGAGACCAGCTATGAGGCAATATACCTAACAGAAAAAATATAGAGGGTTTCTAACTTTTTGTAAACAGAAAGCTGCAATTTCAAATTCATAGGCAGGCACCCTACACTTTGTATTTGAGCCTCAGTAAAAAGGACATACAGATTGAAAAGGTGTCCTTTATGATAATTCAATGGTCTGGTTTGAGTTACTGTTACAGTTACAGTTACATCCTTATTTTCGTTTTTTTTTAGTATAGGAATAACAAACTTCCTTTTCAGATCTCAGAATTCAGCTCCTCTTTCAACTTAATTTGAAATCTACTGTTTGGTCCAACCGAAACCCTAGCAAATATTGGTACTGCTGTTTGTTGGGGGAATTATTAATGGTGCAGGAAATCTAGATTACAGAAATAATTTTGACCCAAGAGAAGATCACTTTATGGGATAATCCTGATTTAAAAACAACTGCTAAAAAATCAGAACAATGGACCTGATGCCAAAATTTCAGATTCATTAGACATCTTAGAATAATTAATTGTGGCATATAAGTTTTATGATGAGCTGATGGAATTTGATATTATTTACATAACCTTTGAATAATGAACCTGAATTCCTATAAAGTAATGTAAAGTTGCTTTAAAAATGTGGAATTAGTTTCTTTGAAGAAGGGTGATTACAAATGCCTTGCTGTGAGAGTTACAATTAAGGAATTACTCATCTGCTTGGACTTGTTCTATTATTGCCACATTTTTGGCTGAAAGCCATTGTATTATTAGCATAAGGTTAGACTGATTGTTATATATCAAGGTTGCATATATTCTCAGCTATACCTCCAAATTTCAAAGCTATAAAAATTTAGGGTGATGGCCAAAACAATTACTATACAACATAGAAAGAAGGAGTATACGCTGGATTACCATCATGTTATTTGTAAAGATGTAATACATAAAGTGAAATGTTGATAAAGGAGTAAGGAGGAAGACTTTTGAACAATTTGGTCACCTTAGTTGGAGCTGTGTGTATAATTTCCAGGCCTTTTCCCTTTTTAAATGTTGATAAATCACAATATATACTTTTTTTGTCACTGTTTAGTTACATAATTTAAAAAACCCAATAATTTGGGTTAATCCACTCCTCAGTAATAAGCTTTAATAGACCTTTCATAACTAGCAGAACTTTCTTAATTTAATAAATTTGGAAAAGCCTACCTTTTACCAATTCATTAATAAGCATCCGTAGATAATTGGTTTGCTTCTTCTTTCCTTCACACACTTGAACTACATCTGCAAGATCTTGGCGGACATCCTGAAGGAGTTTTGCTCCCATTTTCACTTCTCTTTCAAAGAATCTGAACAATGGGTCCTTGGTTTCAGGAAGAAAAATAAGATTTTATATATTTTTAAAATTATTTTATGTTTGATAATAAGACTCAATATTTAACTCTTTGGAAAAAATACTTTAAAAATAGGTGCTAAAACGTTTTATTGGAAAGTATGGGTGAAGACTGGGATAGTGACTTTAATTGTGTAATTATTATTTTAAGGACTTTTCCCAATTTCAAATTCAATTTGGCCTTCCTAGTTTACAAGAGACTTTATTTTCAATTTAAGCATGTTTTATTGGCTCAATACTGGTCAGATGTGTTGTACTTCAAAGGCACCTGAGATATTCTCCCATTTGATAGAATCCATGAGAAACCCACAAAATATTTTTATCAAAAGTTCAATAATATTTTTAAAGTGGACATTACTGGAATATATCAAACACAGGCCAAAGAACTGGAATGTCCAAAAATGCCCTATCAATGGTATCATGTTGTTAAAAATGTTAAGATGGTATTGACAGATTTGAGAATAAGCTGATTCATCAAAAAATAGTATTTATAGTTTATTGGACTCCCCAAAGAATGTATCTGAAAGGATGACATCAGATTTTCTGTGTTGGAGATGTAAAAAAAATTTGAGGGTTCATATGCTCCTGTGTATTCTGGACATTTTTCTGGAACAGTATTTCAATGTATTAAGTAGATTTATGAGGAAATATTTGTATATTAGAGATGTTAACGTGATGCTAAATCTACATACTACTAAAACTCTCGCTGTGTTTAACTGTTTGTCTGTTTATACTCTCAAGTTAGCTCAAACAGTACATTATACCGCAACAATTTTTGAATCAAAGTACAGACAGTCCCCTACTTGCAAACTTTCATGTTGTGAACTTTCACCCATACAAACAGGATGGACCCAGAAGTCAGAACCGGAAGTCGGGAGAAGGCGGGAAAGGGTTAGTTTGCAGCGCACCGCAAGCTAGCCCTTTCCCACCTTCTCCAGCATTCCGTTTGCATTGAAGTTGGAGTTCCCAGAAAAGGTTAGTTTATGCGGTGCACTCCATTGCCGGGTGAGGCAGGAGAGGGAGTGGTGGCAGAGGACAGGGGAGAGGCGGTGGAGGTCTCCTGCCTTGCCCAACAATGGAGCGTGCTGCACCCCGCTGGTCCTGCCTCCTGCCTCCGGCTTTTTTTTTTTTTTTTTGCTTGTTGGACTTATGAACAAAACGGACTTACGAACAGCCTCTTGGAATGTAACCTGTTCATAAGTAGGGGACTATCTGTACTTAAAATCTGCTAACTTAAAGAATCTGAAAAAAATCTGGGACCCATTGCACCTGTGGAATTGACATTTCCACAATATTCAGACCAGTTTTATTTGCAAAGTGGTGGCCATTGCGACGTCCCCAGTGTCACGATTTCTGATGCTCCCTGCTAACTTCCCACAAGCAAAGTCAATGGGGAAGGTGGCAGGAAGTCAGAAGTCGCTCCTGCTCCCTCTGCTTTTTTTGCCTGCCTGTGGTCGTTCTGTTAATCTGTTTAGAAAAGTAAATATTGACTTATTATTGAAGTTTCTTTGCCATCACAATTATTTTTTTATTTATGGTATACGCTCTTCTTAGATGATCCCCGGACCGACCAGCATTGGGCTAAAAAAAAATATGGTCAGCCTAAAATTTTATATTTATTTTGATCACATCAGACTGCACTACCTTTCTCTCAAAAGATGACCCAACTGGTCACAGGGTTGTCTAGTTATATACCGAAGTCCTGGAAGCTGGCTGTCTATGAGAAATGATGATTGTACCATATATGGGAGGTGGCTAAAAGAATAATGTTGAGAATTGGAAAAGTGATATAATTCCATTTATTAAGGATTGGCTTTTGGAAATGTGTACCTTATCTGTCCTGGAAAAGGCAGTATTTTCTACTAATCAAAGGATGAAGTAATATGTTCTTGTTTGTCATACACTTTATGATATTTTACAATAATATTTGTATCTGATTATAATACAGTATTATATGGTAGTTTTTGTAAACCAGTGACTGTAAGTTTAATATATAAGATAATTTTTTTGGCTGCTCTTTTTTTATTTTGTTTTTTTAACATTTTTATGAATTGTTTAGTTTAATTTTGTTATTGTGTAGTTTAGATTAAGTATTCTTTTAACATAATTTTAAAAATATGATTTTATATTGTTGAGAGAAACTTGGCAAATATGATGAGATGTATTTGCTTCTCTAATTGTAAGACTGTTTTGGAAGAACAGAAAGAAACAGAAAGAAGTAAGAGTTCCATTTTTAAAAGAATGCGGCACTATAATCTCTCACTCCTCTGGTTTCTTGCAGTGGAAGAGAGTATCTGTAGATAAATAACTCCTCTTATTTGCTTAAATAGGGGGGAATATGCAAATTAAAGCCTTCCTGTATGGAGAATCATCCTGCACTTCCAAGATATACTGTATATTTTTAGATTTATTCTGGATTTTGCTTCTGGTTCTTTTAGAGTATGGATGTGCAAAAAATTTTGCTCTGAAAGGCTCAAGCTTAAAATAGTCCATTTCATGCTCAAAGTAACAGTTTTGTCTTCCAAATGGGACGTCTTATGAAGTTCTCAAAATGAAACTTTTGTACAACCCTCCAAAGAATAATGTTGAAATAAAATAAATAATGAACTCTCACCTTAATGTTTTCCACAGTTCGTTTTAGATGATTCAGAGTTTGTGGGATGAGATGGAGCCAGTTGGAAGCAGTAGTGTGCAGTGTCCGCATCCAGGCGGGGCGACCATCGGATGTAGAATCTGTTCGTGCCTTCTTCTCTGTCTCTGCATAGGCTAAATCATCTTCATCTTCTAGCATCTGCATTTTCAGCATTTTACTGATCATATCAATACCTGACAGGAAGAAGACATAAAGTAATAACTTTGCCACATTGAAATGCTTCAAAATTCTAGAGAATGGTTAACATATATGTAGTTATTACTTTAATTAATGCATAATTCAGTTAGTCTTTTTAATCCAAACTGGAAAACCCTTCAGTTGTTTTACTATATACTATCTGTATTTACCCACGTATCTTCTATTGAGATTTGCAGGTTTATACTCTAATGAGTTGAAATCATCAAATGTGTTATATCTTGGTTTTCTCTGCACCTTTCTCACTACTTACTTACGTCCCAAATTTTCAATAAATGTACCTAACTGAAGTGGCTTACAAAATGCACACCACTTAAGTGGTTGGTTTAAAAATGCCAGGATGCTTTTTATTCTGTTATTCTGTCATGTAGACAATTGTTTTATATATCTAAATTTATATAATCAACTTATCAAGATGAAGCAAGATGTTTACCTTGTGTGGTGAGAAGAACCTTCTCAGCATTATTTGGTAATCCAAGCCAGGAGGGAGTTTGTGTATCTGGCAGCAATTCAACCCATTGTACAAATTCTTCACGTCTGCCAAATCAACAATGCCAGATAATGACCAAGATATCCATAACTACAAGGAATACATGAGATAACTCATCTTATCCCACACTTAATTTTAGAAAGAAAATGTTAATACCGGATTCCATCTGGCATCTGTATGTCTTTATGCCCATCAACTTTGGAAGCCAATTTGAATTCACTGTCAAAGCTTAGCGTGGTAAAGAGTCGCTCCAGGAAAGTGTTCAATAACCGTTGGTCAAACTCGTTATCAATGCGGCCGCCGTAAATTGACTGAGCCATCAGAGTCTTCAGGGCAGACCATGGAATCTTGTCAGGTGAGATATTCTGACGACCCTGACATTGGAGACATCTTTGTGAAAAAAGGAATAGCTAACCCATTTTAAAGTCTACAAGGACAATGTTATTAACAAGAGCAAGTTTAATAAAATAGTGCTGACCCAGGACTAGAAGATTTTGCCTCCTGAAACAAGGAATGTTCTAACATCTGCAGAACATTTGGATGTTAACAGCATTAGGGCAGCCTTAGCTTGGCCATGGTAATTAATTGTTCTTACTGGTTTGCTGTTATTTTGCTTGACCCTTAAGTATTTTGTCGGAGTGGGTGGCCTATGTATAATTATATAAACAAAAGCCCCTGGCTATCAGTTTCAATCTAGTCCAATGGACATGGGTGATGTTAAGTCCAATATGGGCATGATATATACTCCCTTCTGCTTCTTGAAAGAAAGGTAAGATATAATCATAACTGTTCATATCATTTGGCTTATAATTATTGGGGTGTCCTTTTTACGAAGTAGAATCCAGTCATTTTACACAAAGGAATAAAATGGGAATTACCTTTGCTGTATCATCAAGCCATGTATCCACGGTATCACATGCAGATCTTAAATCAGATTCTCCAAATTCATATTTTTTTGACCAGCCAAGAGGAGCATATCGCAGACGTTCTTGAATAATAGCATGGAACCATGCAAGAAGGAAATAGAGACGTGCACGCTCGTTTGGTGACTAGGGAGGAGAAAAACCAATGGGATTTTGGCTTCAATGGAAAAAAAAAAACAATCTATTCAACAGAACACAATTAACACCTTGCTTGAGATTCAGTATATTTTCCATCCCTGCATCTTTTATCTCAGTTGAAAGAATAAACCCTTTTCCTTACCTGTGTATTTTATTTTAAGGTACTGGATGTATAAATCCATTCAGATGAAGAAAGAGCTTCTAGAACAAGGTACAATACAAAAGCCAAATCATATGATTTCTTATTTTCTAAACAAATTGGATTTACTTTTGTTATTTCCCAAGCTTAAAACAGTATGGCCTTTGCTAATTTATACAGCTTCAGAAGGTCTGAGAAGGTATTTATTTTGATGAACATAAAATGGCTGAGGCATCTGTACTCCATGAACTAAGTGGATGTTGTTGCAAGATCAGCAATGGCCACCCTGTGTCAGTAAAGCTTCTTAATGGATTCATTTACTAGTACTTTTTAGTAACACCATATTTATTATTGCAATTTTGAGTAATTAGTTTAAAAACTTACCTTGCACATTCTAGACACAGGGATGCTGCTAAAGGTTCTCAACATATTGGCCTTTACACCAGGTGGTGGTTCAAACACAAAAATTCTTCCAGCACGTAACAAGTTTACTGGCACCTGAGCACAGAATACATTATCCAAGTGTACAGTGAGAAATGCTCTTTTTTCCTGCTGTACTGCTGGAGAAACTGATTGTACAAAGATATGCTGAACTTTAATTTATCATGTTAGCATGAAGTAATTGTTTTCAATAACAACCAATAGTAAACAAAAATCATATAACTTGATGGTGCATAAAGATCAAATAAAGGAATGGACAACGACAAATCTAAAGAGGTGAACGCAGCATTTTGGGAATGGTTCCTTATTAAAATCACTTGACATTTCTGAACACCCAAAGAAGTACTAATTTCTCTTGCTTTAATAGAGAGAAAATGAATTAAGCACAACAGGTCAGAAACCTCACAGGATGAGGGTAAACCTCTTCTTTATGATAGCAGAATTAAAAAAAAAATGTCATGGTTGATTTTTTTATTCTGAGTTGCTTACTTTTGGATTAATCTCCATTGTAAGGAACAATCTAAAGCATGCATGAGGCTGAAGGGAATGCAGCTTCTTTTCCAGTTGCATCAGCCATCCAGGTGCCAAGTGGACATTCTTCAACATGACCCACCTAAAATATATATAAAAAAAATCCAGAGAATAATACTTTAAAAGTCTATATCATATAGAACCAAAACGGATGCAATGCGAATCATACTGTTGGGAAGAACCCACCTGCCTGACTTTACTGCTGTATTGATTGCTTTATCAGCTTGGTTAAATCCTTCAGCAGAACCTAAAAGCACATTACCATGTTAGAAATTTGTATCTGTCTTCCACAGCATTTGAGGTGACAAAACATATGAAAATATTACCAATAGCAATAGAGGTGATCTGTGTATTTTGCTCTGCAGCAAGGTCTTCAACATGTCCACTGGCATCATAGCCAGGTACAGAGCACATCAACACAGGTGTGTTAGGCTTCACCTAAAATCCAGGAGTGGGAGAGAAAGAAAGGGGAAAATCAAGTAGGTTTGTTTCACAGGAAGCAGCAGTCCTTTCTGCCCCAAAGTTTGCAGTTTTTCCAGTGCTGAGAAAATCTCAAGGAAACCTCCCTTTTAATCCTAAATGTTAATGGATGGATTTTAACTTCAAATGATAAAGGAGAGATAATGCATTTTGTAAATTCGCAAAAGACCTTTTTTTATGTGTTTGTAAAAAAAAAATGTAAACATTTTTTTTTACATGTTTCTAAAAAAGAGAGCCAGTTTGGTCTAGTGGTTAAGGCACCAGGCTAGAAACTGGAAGATTGTGAGTTCTAGTCCCACCTTAGGCATGAAAGGAGGCTGGGTGACCTAGGGCCAGTCACTCTTTCTCAGCCCAACTCACCTCAAAGGGTGGTGGTTGTGGGGAACATAGGAGGAGGAAGGAGTATTAGGTATGTTTGCCACCTGGAGTTATTTAAAGAGAATAATAAAGGTGAGATAAAAAATCTAAAAAAAAGTTTCAGAGCTGCAAAGTATTTAAGATCTACACTCAGGTTTACATTAAATTACTGTTTTCCAGGGTTAAGTTGAGACTGAAAAAGCTAATTGAGTTGAGCTACAGTAATTTGGGATTTTTATTGAACGGCATATTCCAAACAGCTTCTAAAAAACTCTGAAATGTCAAAAGTGGCAGAGAGGACCACTATTTCAATTTCACAAAGCTAAAACCATCCCAGTCACTTTTGTACGCCTCATAAAAAGAGATCTCTGCACGTTGCATCACTACAAAAAGCCATTTAACTAATGATAAAAATAATCAGGATCCAATGCAGTTTTTACTTTAACAGCAGACTCTAAAGCACCACCTGCACTTATTCCATCCGAGATTCTGGGGACCAAGGCAGGGTGTAATTTACATGTTCACTTGCCTCAGTATCTACAATGTGAGCCAGATCCAAGGGCTGCTCCATAATGGACATAAAATTTTCTCCAAGATTTGTGGAAACAAACTGATGCGCCATTGCCAATAAACGATCAGGGCGGAAAGCTTGGATCAAAAGCAAGCGATGTATGGCCTGTCCGATGGATGCTGAGATTTAGAATAAAGAAAATAAATAAATAAATAAATAAAATGTTCATGTTGTGTTTAGATTATTCCAGGCAATTCAAGACTAAGGTTATTGAATCGGCAGTTTCAATGGCATGTTTTTGCTTCTCTCTCTCCAGGAAAATAAAGATATGTAACGAAGCAGGAGGCATTTAGTTTAGACTAGACAGTCTCCTCCAGCTTTCTAGAAGTCTATGAGGCTAAGTCGCAGCTTCTGATGTTGCAAATATTTATTTATTTATTTATTAAATTTATACGCTACCCATCTCCCCCAGAGGGTGACTCTGGGCGGCTCACAATTAAAGTAAAACCTGAAAGCAGTTAAAAATATAAATATCCCCATTAATTTAGTTAAAAAGTCAAACTATATAAAAAGACCATATACCTAAAAAGACTAAAAACATTCAAGATGACCGGGTGGCGGGGGGGATAGAATCAATCACTCCACAAGCCAATTCCAATGGTGCAAAGCCCCATCCGGTCCCCAGGCCATCTGGCATAACCAAAATTTCACACTCTTCCTTAACGCCATGAGAGTGGGGGCACATCGCACCTCGGGTCGTAAGTTGTTCCACAGAGCGGGGGCTACAGCAGAAAAGCCCCTCTTCCTAGACTCCACCAGTTGAAATTCCTTGACTGGTGGGGTCTGCAACATGCCCCTTCTGCTGGACCGAGTGGGTTGGGCTGATATAATGGGGCGAGATGGCTCCTCAGATAACCTGGTCCTGTGCCATGAAGGGCTTTAAAGATAATAACTAACACCTTGAATTGGACCCAGAAGCAAACCGGCAACCAATGCAGCTCGTGTAACAGAGGTGTTATATGGGCTCCCCTGGAGACATTCAGAACTGTCCACACCGCTGCACTCTGCGCCAGCTGTAGCTTCCGGATATTCTTCAAGGGTAGACCCACATAGAGCGCATTGCAGTAATCCAACTGGGAGGCGACCAGGACATGAATGACCGTGTGGAGAGCCTCCCGACCAGGAAGGGGCATAACTGACACACAATATAGTTGTGCAAAGGCCCTCCTAGCCACGACTGCCACCTGCTCTTCGAGCAGGAATCATAAGTCTAGGAAGACCCCCAGATTATGCACCGGGTCTGTCTGGGTTAGTGCAACCCCATCAAGAACCAAAGATGATAAACTCCTAGATCTCGAGGCTCCCCATACCCACAGCCACTTTGTCTTACCAGGGTTCACTTGAAGCCTGTTGTCCTCCATCCAGGCCTCTACAGCCTCCAGACACCGTGAAAGGGTAGCCACAGCATCACTTAGGTCACCAGGGATGGAGATAAATAGTTGAGTATCATCAGCATACTGATGATACCTCATCCCATGGTGCCAAATGATCTCCCCCAATGGTTTCATGTAGATGTAGGACCAGCGAGAGCACCGAACCCTGAGGCACCCCACAAAGTAGGGGCTACGGGTTGGACCTTTCTGAATGGCCCTGAATTATTTTATTTATTCCCAGAAATACTAATCCCATTGCCAAGGGACTCTTTATGCCACTTTCAAAATCAGGCATTTATAAGGAATTACTTGCTCACACAATACTGACCTACTATTTTGAAGAACTGTTTTTCAGTATTCAAAACCATTTTTTTTTTTTTACAAATTAATTTGATATTATCTTTTTCCAGCCATTATTTCAGTTTGTCTTGTTCGAGCAATTTCTTCTTTTGAGTTTTCCACAAATATCTAATAAAGCAAAACTGAGATGGAAGAAATATGAACTTACTTGCAGGTTTGTCTTCTGTCCAAAGATAGGGCACAGTCTGCTCTGGTGAACTGCTATCCAGCCAAATGCAGAATTGCTGTAGGTCAGGTTCAATTAAAAAATATTATTTCTGAGCAACACATAAGAACCTTATATTAGAACTAAGACCAATGAGTTTATTTACATGAAGACAGATCAAGGATGATCATGTTTTTGTAAGGAACACGCTCTGTGTGATAGGAAGAACATGCTCAGTTTTTATATATGGTAGTATACTTTGCTGATCAATATGCAGCTCAGTGAGCATGAGCTACCTAGCCCATATATTGATAATAATGTGCATGAAATGAAGTAGGAAATAAGCTTCATATATACAATCACCTAAAGAGAATGAAATGTTATTTGCATTAATAATTCACTTTTAAATTCAATAGATTAGACACATTGAAGAGTAGTCTTACATCATCAGCTTTGACTTTAGAAACAAGGTCCTTAAAGGAAGAAAGGCAGCTCAGTCTCATCATAGCTTCCAGTTGTTCTAAGGTCAGGCCACTAATTTTGGGGAGAACCGTATTGCTGAGTACAATTTCTTTCCCTCTCAGGAAATGCTGGAATTCTGCATCATACGTAGGCTCTCTTCAATTAAAACAGAAGTAAATTGCACTGAGAACAATTCTCTCAAAACTAAAGAAACCTAACTACTCCCTAAGCATAATTCTTTGGATTATTGCTATGTACAAGAAACTTGGGAAAATAATTAGTTCTGCTTATATGTATTATGTTGTAAGAATGGCTGCTTGAACTTGGCAAATAATCTTTTGCAAAAGATATCAGATAAAGGTTAAATCATGTTTTCATTCATCTTTTTCTTACAGAAAATCCAAATTGGCTTTTCTGTCATTATTTTTACTGATTTGAACACAGGTGTGGAATTCACTGTGTCCCTCTGTCATATTAGGTTGCATGAATTAACTTCAAATCTATAAATGCTACTGTTGAATACAATTTTAGCTTGACTTTTGGAGTGCTGTTTTTTGGTTTTCAAGAACTGCTGTTTTTAATTTCCAAATCCCTATAATTCTTAAATTTTGGAAGGACTTCAGTGTTCAATATTGACATGTTTAGTAAGATCATTTGCTTACCCTATAGTGCCTTTCAGTTTTATTCTGGCCAACAGCATTGCAAAGGTTATGTGATCCTGATGTAGCATGCCACGAGCAACTCTATTGAATGCCACCTATAAATACAAAATTAGGAAGATCAGCTTGGCAGAAAGTTTATGAATAGGAAAAAATATCTGAAGAATTTTTAAGTATGAAATGCCTCTACTTAACCTGGAACAGATCTTTCGTGATAATAGAGAGACGCTGGGTATGGTCTGTAATTCCCTTCAAATTTGGGTTCTCATATAAGACATTATGATAGATATCCAAGAAAAACTGAAGAGAATACTGATACAGGAAGTGTATCTACGGAAGAATTCAAATTGAATAATAATGTTAAAAGCAACATATTAACTTGTATCCAAATGAGATCATGCAGATTCTGTGCAAACAAACAAACAAACAAACAAACAAGTAAATAAGAATCACAGAAAGGGAAACCTAAATCAACCTCTTGTACCTGCTTCAATGACTCCATTGTGAAGTAAATACTGCTACATGCAGTAGAAAGTGGGAGATATTGCTGAGACACTGTTTCCACCTCTTGCATGACAATATCGGTTTCTTCTACTTTTCTAGTAACCTCAGCTGCCTCTCTCTTTAGGTTCTCCAAAGTGGTTATGATGGTATCATCATCCAAGATACGTCCTTTTACTTCATTGAGGGCTTGGAGAAGAGATTTTTCTAGCTGCCGCAAACGCAGCTGGAATTCACCTTTAAAAATAATACAGACCCTGAAACAAAACCTAAACCACATTCTGACATGCTTACTTTTTAATAGAGATGAATATTTCTACAGAGCAATAGCAGAACAGTACTAATGAGTTTTACTTTTTAATAGAAATGAGAATAATTTATCAGTCTCGGCTGACAATTGTTGCAAAATCCCTATATACTTTGGATTCTATTTAGTCTGAACTCTGGAATATGGGTTGGCCTTACAAGAATAGTTTTAAAACAACACACAGTAATTTTAAACATCCTGCCCAATCAAATATAGGCTTTTTAGAATAATAAATAATGTATCTATGCAATTCCCCCAAATAAAATAATAATGAAGGGGCTTTTTTTTTTTAGTGATGGGAGTTTCTGTTTGTTTAGGAAAATGACTAATTTTTAAAAAAGACTTAACAAGGGAATGAGAACAGCTCCCATGCTTTTTTTATCTCAGTTTGCAAGATTCTGGAAAGGAAGTTCTGAAAAACAAGAGTTTGACATTTTGAGTTCCATTCTGGTAATCATATTCAGTAGAGTTGAATCTCAGATATCCAGGTAGGTCTACTTGCTAATGGAATTGTTGCTGCTATATGACACAGAGAGGATATGATCCCTCCCTCTCTGCAGCTCCCTAAGTGTTAAAAACGAGAGGGCTTAAAAAACTTTCCCAGTCTGGGAAAACCCACTTGCCCAATATTGGACTTTGCTCTAAAAAATCCATGGAGAAATCCTGTAGAAGATTATTTGGCAATACTGTCTCTCTCTCTCTCTCTAATCCTTGAATCCTATATAAATATAATCTGAATGCTGTTTGAGATTTGGTTTTTCAGTGATTATACCTTGAAGTTTGAGGAGATCAGAACGTTTCTCATCCACATCTGGTCTTTCAGCTTTCAGTACCTCATTTAGGCATTGACTCTGTAAGCTGCTACGAGTTACTGTGAAGTTGACAAATGTCACACGGGAACAGAGATCTGGTGGAAACTCAACCTATGAAACACAAAACATTCAGTGTAACCTTTAAATAGCCTCTCCTTTCCACTGCCACCAACTACTGGCTTTGTAAAATAAGTTTATTCCTTACTGTTGGATCCCTGGTGGAAAGGAATATTACAAATGATGGTGATAAATCAATATCTTGATCTCCCAAAGTAATAAGAACTCGACCACCAGTTCTACGGACTTCACGGTTCAGCACAGGATTCAGAACAGGGTCATAGCTCTCCACATCCTAGACAAGATGACAAAATGATCAGGCATACATGGAATCAGTGGAGATCAAGTTCTCTTGAACTATTTCCAAAAGAAAGCCACAAATGAGCTGGGTTCCAAGAAACTGCTTCAGAAACACCAAGGAATTTAATTCACGTGTTCAATGACATAAATCTTGTTTTCATTTAACTACATAATCTGTATGATTTATCACAAGCTGCTTTGTGATTACAGAACCTCTAATCTCAAAAATCTTTTTCTATGCAGCAGAGCCTCAAAATGGGTTTTTGAGGATTCTAGTTATTCTATTTGGTCTGTATGTAAAGAAGTAATGTAATTTTCAATGTTACATGTAGTCTTTATGATAGTCTTTTCCCAGTATTTTCTTTAGATACTCTATTTACTTTGAAGAAAACTAGCTTTTTTCCAAAATGATTTACTTAGATTTGCTGACAATAAGTTAATGAAGATCTTTTTTTTCCTATCCTGTCTCCTGTTTAGACAGGTAAGAGTCTTACATTCAGGCTCATCTTTTTAGATAAATCTAATATTTGAATAAGTTGCATAAGATTTTAAAAATTTAGATATATCTGCAAATGGAGTTTAGCATAATAAATATACTGTCCTCAGAACTAGCGGCATCCACGGCAGGGAAAACAGGCATGATAAAGGCCATGACATCATGTTCCAAGCCATGCCTCTTTTGTAGCAGGTTTGTCAGTATCACACATGTATACAAGGGGTGGGATTTTGATTGCAACACTGCAACCACCATTTTGCCTGTTTTGACACCTCCAAAACTGTTGTTCAGAACTATTTAAATTTTCCAACGTGATAATTTCAATAACTCTTCAGTGTTGGAAGCTATTGTAAGATATATTTATTATACAACCTAAATTTTGCTTACCAAAATTACAAGAAGAAACAGAAGTTGTAAAACAGCATGAATTTTAAGACAACAAACTTAAATAAGTTCAGAAATAATGTGGCTTAGGACAAAAGCGGGCATTCTTGCCCATGCTGTATATAGTCCCTGGTTGCTAAGTGCTTTTATTTCAGTGGTTTCATAAGGTAACTCAGATAACTGTAGATCCTGTTCTATTCAAGATTACATGGGTTCTGTATTACTGGATGTACATCCATTTTTTTCTGCATTTGAGTTACAGACAAGTGCCGTTAGTTTTCATAAAAGTAAAATCATATGAAATCTCCTTAGTTTTTGAAGGCAAAACACAAAGCAGCAACAAACCTGGACAAGCAGAGGATTACCAAATCGCAGTGCACTTTCCAAATTCTTTCTGAACGCATCATCCAAAAAGCTAGTACGGGTTATTTTACGGTCCTTGTATTCATTCATGATGAATTCTGTAGCTTGGCCCGAAGGGTCAATAATTAAGGGATACCTAAAACATAATTTCTTGTATTCAGTTAAGTTTTAAGGAACCTCACAAAAGGATATTTTCCTCCGTACATTCACGGGAAGTCATTTTTAAAAAGGTAGTTTACCACTGTTGTATTAGATGTTTTTTTGCAATGCCACTGCTACCAAATTCAAGATTAAAATTCATGATATGTGCTAGAAACTGAACCATAAAAGCTTCACTTATTATTTACACCAGAAATAGCCCTATTAACTTTACATTCTACTTCTTTGAGCTTCCAAATTTCTATTTAATCTACTCCAAGAATGGCAATATTGGTCCTGCCCTTCTAACAGGCATTCTTCAATCAGACTGCCACTTGGGAGTTGTGATCAGAAACACTGAACAATTATCCAAAGCATATAAGATATACATTTGAAGATTCCATTTTAAACTATACTAGTATCTAATCTATGCTAGAATCTATTCTTTGTATTTCTAATGAATACTTAAAATAGTTTTGCCCATCTTCTTATAAAGCTTCCAAACAGCCTAAACATTCCCTAATTATTTCTAAATAGTACTTGAATTGGTATACTTTCCAACTTCCATGAAATCATTAATCACATGGGAAGGGGTAGATGAGAACTGCTGGTAACTTTTTGGACAAGGAGAATTTGGATGATTTTCATCTTACCTAAGATATATTTAGATGGCATATTTTTCTTTAATAAAACCGGTGTCACTGGTTCATTAAAACAATGGCACAGCTCTGCCAGCTATGTTTTTGGAACATATTTATCTGGGAATGACTTTCTTGCATGATATAGTATCATTCCCAGTATTATTCTTGGGGGAAAAGATGCCTACAATTATTAGCCATTCTCTCCATACTATGCCAGAAGATTCTTTTGAATGCCACAGTATCAGAATATTTATACAGCATTCTGTCCTAGGAGTATAGCCAAAGTAATGTTCTATCTCCTAGTAAAAGATAAAAATCATTCAATCACAGGAACAAAAAGTTTAGTCAGGAATAATTACCAAAAGTGTTTAAACAGTATTTCTTTTTTTTACAGTTTTTGGCTGAAAATGCCTGATGAGAAGAAAGAGTACCTGTTAAATCTCTTGAGCATTATTGCATTTTCTGTGCACAAGTCATCTGCAGGGAGAGAACTTGCTTGCCAACGGAGACGTTCATCTGCATTCGACAAGTATTCTGTTCTAGCAATATCTGTACGGAACTGTAGAATGAATATTATGATTTACTTAAGAAAAGCCAAGAATTGACAAACATCTGTGAGTTAATAAATGCATTTGCTCCTTTTCTATTACTGAACTACGTACCAGATGTGCTTTGCTTTTACCCTCATAAAATATTGTTAACCCTTCAGCTGTACCCTTTAACATCTGATTGCAATTTGGGTCCAAGTATGCGTATCTTTAATCAAAATGGGTGAGTGTTGGAGAAACATATTCCAAATGATCCATGCTGTTCAGCTGTAGTTAAATATTAAGGCCACCATATATCAAGGAACAAATGATAGAGGTGTTCCAAGCTCTAAACCGTTGGTATGTAATAAACACATTAAGTGACCCAACTGTTTGTAATAAATGGTGATGAATGATTTTATGAGCCATAAATGATTTTTTTTACCTGAATATTTGCCTGTTGCAAGTGATGGGACCAAGTTGTGAACAGATTTTGTCGCATCTGTTGGTCAAAATAGCCAGCGTAAGCAATAAATGCTCCTGAGAGCAAACAGTCTCCTGCAATTGTGGACATCTGATTCTTGAAGGTTTCACTTGTTTTCTCCCATCTTTCACGTTCAGCAGACAAGCTCTTCAAAAGAGCTGTGCTGCGATTTACCTGGAAGTAAAGCAATTAATATATTCAAACAAAAACTAGACTCAAATTTTATGATGTCATTTCATGGAAAGTCATATTACTTAAAACCTGGCCCTAGCACAATTTCAAGTATCTGGGAAATGGGGGGTGAGGGAGAAACAAGAGCAAAGTCAGTGTTAAAGATACATAGCTTTACAAAAACAGTAAGAAACTTTAATCACAGCGGAGAAAAGTTCTGCAACATATCATAAACTGCAGTTTGGACTACTGTAATGTGCTCTACATGGGGCTGCCCTTGACGAGTATCCAGAAGCTTCAAGTGGTGCAGAATGCGGTGGTGCAGGCAGTTATGTGTGCTCCTAGAAGAGCACATATTGCCCCTTTGGTTCACAAATTGCTTTGGGTGCTGGTTTACTTCTGGGTCCAATTCAAGGTGTTAGTTTTGACCTTTAAAGCCCTTCATGGCATGGGGCTCGGATATTTGAGGGACTGCCTCTCCCTGATTACATCAGCCCATCCCATTAGATTCAGTAGGGAAGGTATGTTACACATTCAATCGGCCAGGGACTTGCATTTGGTGGGTCCCAGGAGGCAGGCCTTCTCCGCCGTGGCTCCCTCCTTGTGGAACATTCTCCCTCCTGAAGTGAGGCTTGCCCTTTCCCTGCTGTTGTTTAGGAAGTCCCTCAAGACCTGGTTGTGTCATCAGGCCTGGGGGTCTTTGGGAACTGGAGACATTCTTAGATGGCTCTATTGATATTCTGCTATTCTTAGATGGCTCTATTAAGATTGATATTCTGCTATCTCTGCGGGGTTTGTATATTTTAAAATCTAAATTTTTAAATTTTTTGATAATGTTTTTATTTTAATAATCAGTTTTTATCTATTTATAATGCTTTTTTTTATCCACTTGTTATTTTATTTAATTGTTGTACAGTGCCCAGAGTTGCTTTATGTGAGATGGGTGGCTACATAAATGTGACATATAAATAAATAAACAAAGTGCAATTAGCATCAATACCACACATTTCCATTAGTTTTCAATTCTTCAAAGAGGCCACCAATCAATACAGGTAGTCCTTGAGTTATAATGGCAATCGGGACCGGGATTGCCATCACTAAGTGATGCGGTTGTAAAGTGCAACGTCAAGTGATCGCATCGCTTAGCAATGGCAATCCAGGCAGTGCCGATTGCCATCGTAACCCAAGACATGCAGGTCGCTAAGCAGGAAACAGCAGGAGTCCCAGGTAAGGAGTATGGGATGCCACAGGGGGGTGGGGCAGGCCCTGGGAGTCCCAGTGCAGGCTGTGTGTGAGTTGGGGGAGGGGGTGCTGTGGAGTGGCATGAGCGCAGGAAGAACAGGCTCAGTGCACGTGTGCAAAGGGGGAAGGAGGGCGCAGTGCATGTATGAGAAGGGAGAAAGGAGGGCATGGTATGTGCGAGTGAAGAAAGGGCAGGGGTGGGGGAGACTTACCTGAGCGATTTGCGATCTTCCCTGCTGGCTTCCCCATTGACTTTGCTTGTGGGAAGCTGGCAGGGAAGTCACAAATGGCAATCATGTGATTGTGGGACACTGCAACCATTGTAAGTGCGAGTTGGTTGCCAAGGCCTAAATTTTGTTCATGTGACTATAGGGATGCTGCAACAGCCAGAACTTCAAGGACTGGTCATAAGTCCCTTCATTCAGTGCCGTCGTAACTTCAAATGGTTGCTGAATGAATATTGAGTGAGGACTACTTGTATATATATAGTATAGTATACTAGTCAAAACCTTTCTAAGATTCATGGTAATCATTTAAAATGGAATTCAGCACTCACAAGAAAGATAAGATTCTGATGTTGGTCTAATCAGAATTCAAAAATTAAACATGTACACAAGTATTTACATGTTTAAACACATTCTAGTTTTTTTAAACTCAATGGTCTACCTTGAAAAGTTTGATTTTTCAAAAGGAAACTTGTAGTAGACTGCAATATTAAACTTAAATATTGATAATGCCAGATGATAAAAGCCAATCATATCCTAAAGAAATTTAACAGAAATAAATTTGGCACTCTCACTTTTGCTTCCACAGCAGCTAGATCTGCCTTAATAGCCTGAGCTTCAGAAATCAGCACAGCATACTCCTCCTTGTAACGGGCAATGCTGGTCTCCAGGTCTCTAATCATCTGCTCAACTTCATTGGCCTTCTGTTGGTTGTCTTTGGCATCATCTTCAAGTTTCTGCAGCTCATTCCTCAGGGGCTCTACTCGTTTCAACATGTCAGCATAATTCAACTAAGAAAAAAAGACCAGGCACTCAATTTCCAAACCACTTAGGGTTTTACAGTCCTCATTAAACTCTCATGTCAACAGTCTGAGGTGAGAAAGCTGCTAGATGAAATCCAGTGGACTATTTTCGCTGATTGAATGCTTGTTGTTCATGAGAAGCCACAGAAACTCCCCAACCCCAGCAGGGGGTATCCTCAGAGAGATTTTGAAGATGAGGAACTGTTTGTGGGAAGGTCAGACTGAGAGAAGAGAGAAAATCCCCCAAAAGTCTGAGTCTGCAACCTCATACTTTGATTTGACAGTAAGAATGCTTAAGAAAGAAGGCTGTACTACAGCAACTAAATTAGACTGTCAAAAAAACTGGAATACATTAGAATAGAATAAGGAGAGTCTATTTTCCAATTCTGAATGGCACTGGAAAGGGTACTTTCCAATACTTGACAAAACTTGATTGGCATTGTTTTCCATTTCCTTCTGTGGTCCTAACTCAGCATTTTTGTTTCTTGTTTTTTACCCAAAACTGCTTTTTCCACAAAACATTTTGCTTTCCTCTCACTGTTTTATCAACTTCCCAGAACCAAAAAACCCTCTGCAGCCCAGCTTATATCTCTTATTCTGAAAATATATTCCTTCCAAACAGATGATTTACCTGTGCAATAGCCCATTTTACCATAGGTCCACAAGCCAAAGATGCTCTGTTCACAATTTCATAATTATAGCTTGGATTTGATAAATAGTTCTTCTTCATCTTCTCCCGGATGGCATCACTAGAACAGGAAAAGGGTTTAAAGAACCACACAGGCAAAATTTCATTTGGCATATGAGTTCCAATAGTGTGCTTATCACCATCACCACAGTAAGTAGAGCTAAAACTACAAATACCTCGTATCTTCAATATTAAAGTTGACAATGCTGCTGATGAAATTATCTCTGAGAATAACTGGCCTGATCTTTTTCCAGTCACTTGTCTCTTCACCCAACAAGAGACAGATTGATTCTAAAGCCAGTTTTACTGCAGGAGGTGGATTGGCCATGGTTCTTACTTCAACAAGATGTTGTTTCTTTATAGAGCTCACCGCTATTAAGGGATGGAAAAAAGCACTGAGCATGCAAAATATACTTCAGGCTGCTGATGGGAATGAAGAAAGAAATTTAGTTCAAAGACTGCAATTTTGTTACTGTTACTGTTGTAATAATATATGGGCTGCTCCAGACAGTCTTCATTTTAATGGAGCTCACTGACCTCAAGAAGCCTTCATCAACCTGATACAGGTTAGAGATGGAGGGAAAAAGATATTGTAGAAAAATGCTCTTTCTCGATTTATTTACATATTTGAAGCAAAAATCAGTCCCTCATATTTTGTATTTGTAATACGGCCATCTTTCAGAAGTCTTTGTGAACAATTTCATTCAGGTCCCAGCAGCAGCCAATGTACATTTCCAAATTATTCACCTGATCTCCTCAGCAGAAAAGTTTACAATGGTTGGGATGAAGTTTTCCCGCATTATGATGGAACGTATCTGTTTCCAATCAGTTGTGCTTTCACCCAAGAGCAGACAGATCGACTCTAGTGCCAGCTTCACTGCCGCAGGTGGGTTTGCCATAGAACGGACCTCTACCAGATGTTGCTTCTTTATTGATTTAACAGCTAGCCAGGAGCAAACCCAATCAGCCAGGTGTAAAAGACAATGATTTAAGAGAAAACAGCAAAAAGCAAATTCAGAGATGATTTGAACAATTTTAAGCTTCCATACATACATGCAAAAAAATAAACTTTAATTTAAAAGAATAAATGATTTCAGGATAGTATACATCAGTAAGATTTCCTGTTAGCTTTAGTGATGCCTGTAAAGCACAGAAAAAATATATGAAAATCTTCAGATTTTTCAGATTCTCACTTTTCAGATATACCATCAGATATCATGAAGTGTACAATTTACCACTCAACAACCTAGTAATTTTCATTGTAGCCCTTTTTAAAAAAAAGTCATGTTACATCCAAACATTTTGTATTTTTAAAATCATAATAAAACCATCAGTAGCTACAACAGCTTATATGCCAACATGAGCAGGTATTCTGAAAAGCTATGCAAGTATTGCTTTGTGCAGTCAGATCAGAACATGATTATTGCTTGATCAAATTATTACCCAAAAGATTTAAGCTTACAGAGCTCATATTGTTTTCTTCGACCCTATTACATTTCTGTGAGAGACGATATTCCAAAAATAAGCAATTACGGAATGAGTTCATTGAACAGAAGAAAGCAGAGCATGCTGCAGACCCAAGTGCATGAATAAAATTGCCTCCCCCGCCACCCCCATTTCATTATATCTGCCTACCATTCTGTGCCTCAATAACTGCAGGCTCTACTTTATCCAGATCTTCTTTCACACTCATCTGCTTATCAGCAATGACCTCTTGCTGTTTGTGTAACTGTTCTTGAATTTCTTGGCTCATAACCTAGGGCAAGTTATACAAAGTATATTAGAGCCTCAACCATGTACTCAGTTGTCATTCTCATGTCATTAAAGCAGTAGTGGTCTTTACCTTTTTCTTCTCTGCTTCTTGCTGATCTTTTACCATCTTTTTTAATTTATCATTAGCTGCTGCATTCTTCACTTCAAGCTCCTGGCTTTTTATTCTTAAGTCACGGCGCAGTTCTTCTACCTGGAATAGATCAGAGATTCTCAATAATGGCGAAGTGTATTAATGAAAAGTGCTGTAATAACTTCCAGGGATTGATTGTCAAGAATGATTTCTTTTTTTCCCAATTGTCCTTTGTTTAGGTTTATACCTGGTCAACAGTTTCCTTTATCTTCCTGAGCCCAACATTCAAATGCATCTGCTGCTCTTCCAGTTCACTCCTCTTTTCATTGAATAAATTTGCATAGTGGTTGATGAAGTCCAAATAATGACGAGGAGTGATGGCCATTGTTCTGCCACCTCGTTTTGCCAGTCGAGCATTAGCCTGCCACAAAATAAAATGTTGGTACAAATCAGTAGGTTTTAAAATTTCCTCCACAAAAACAGATGCACTATCTTCTAGGATTGCATTCTGTTGTCTGATAGAACACAAAAAGACACATATAAAAATGAAAAGCTGCATCTACCTGATGAAGTGTCTGATGAACAAACACACAACTGTTTACAATAGCTTCTCTATGTGATGGAGGCTGTGGCAGCTTGTCATAGACAACTGGCATGTAATCTGGCACAATGTAATTTGGTTTCTCAAGATCCATTTTACTAGTGAATTCTTTACCAACTTGATAAAGTGCCTCAGTGGACCAGTCTCCAAACCAGTTCAAAACACACCTAAACAGGAGAAGACAGTATTTGAAGACTTGCCATGTTTTGAAATGAATTAATGAAAAATATTCATACTTAGTGTATTAATGGTGCAGTACCTGTTGAAGAGGGCTGGAGATGTAGCTGCTCTATCTTTCAACCCTTCTGAAGATGGATTCATTGTAAAAACTACGTGGAGATTTCGGATCACTTGACTAGTGAACCACTTATAAAGTTCTTCATGTGAGTCCAACATCAAGCCCTCTTTCTGGGCTCCTTCCTTACACTGAGTCATAAGCGTGGCATATTCATCTCCTTCAAACAGTCCAGGGACCTATATTGAGAAAATGTACATTAGAAGTCTAACTGATTCTGGAAATTCTTGTCAAAGGGCAGAACATTTTTCCAGGCCTCTGGACAACACCGATACATAGTTTCATAGTTGTTTTACTGCAGCCTGGTTGCTTTTCAACTCAAAGATCAAATTTCAATTGATCACTATAATTGATGGCACAATGGCTTTTTCCATTTTTAAAATATAAAAATCTAGGTCCAGCTTTTCATCAAGTTACCTCTCCATTGGCCAGAAGAGTATTCATTCGCTCCAGAAATCCAGAATCAAGTACATTTGATTCATCCATTATGAATGCAATTTTCTCATTCTTACAGCCAGACCGTCTCAATACTGTTCTTAGATCTTCATCAAAATCTTCCCCAGTGTACTTTCTATGTACCTGTAAACCACAATTGTGGGTCAATTTTTGTTTTTCTGTAGTCTATAAAAGGCAAGTACCATGAAAATGGTTTTAGTTTTACTATTTGAAAGTGATTATAACCTTAATTTGGTAGACACTTAAACCATTCATCCATGCCACGAATCGCGACAGAGTAGTTTTTCCTGCTCCACTGACACCAATGAGAAGTAAGTGCCCCTGAGGCTGACGGAAGATTCTGAAAAGATACTTCACTTAGTGAATATAGTACAGGCTACCAGGGTAAGCCCACTTTCCTTTATTAGAACTTACATTCAATGGAAATTTCCTACAGGTGCACACAAACACAGTTACAGTCTTATTGCATTTTATAAACCTTCTCCTGTTACAAAAGATAACATTATTGGAGATCCTTCTCTAGTATCCAAGAAAAGATTACATAACATCTCCCTTTAAAATGAAAATTAGATTGACTTAGTAATATACATTTGTCAAGTTGCTATGGCTAGAAAAATATTTAACTAGTTAAATTGTTATACCTGTCAATTCGTAGCACATGATCTAATACTTCATTGAATAAGACAAGCGGCACATCAAGTTCTTCTTCGTAGAAAACTTTCAGTCTAGCTTTAACATAATCTCTTAACTCCTCTTGGTCAACTGGGATATAATCCTAACAAAAAACAGAACAAGCAAGTATTTTTGTATGTACACACACACACACACATATATGCTGGAGCTGACTATGCTTAGGGTAGTGTCTTAAGATGCATCAAATGTTCATTTGTGAAAGTACTTGATTCCCCATTAAGAACTTGTCTCATATTAAGCAATTATTGTCTTGAGTTTTCCCCAAAAAGAAACAAGGTTGGCAGGAATCTACCATTTTGTTCCAAATCAAGGTGGTGCAAGAAAAGCATATGATGCAAAATAAATGGAAGCATTAGCACTGAAACTCTGAACAATCCTAAAATACCCAGAACAATTATTTAACAGAGACAACTCATTCTGTACATAGAAAAAGCTAAAACCACTTCAATCTAAAAGAAAAAAATTCTACCCATATTTTCATTCATTTAACTTTCTTCCTCAAGGATGTATGAATAAAGTGGATGCTTAATTAAATTTAACATGATTGTCAACGATCATACTCAGCTACACAAGCTGAGTTCTGCAAGCATTTCATATTAAAACTGGTAGTTTCCATTCTAATATTCGAGCCAACATACTGCAGTAAAACAAAAGAAGGTTGCCCTCAATGACCTCTATGCAACTTTTCATCAAAAGGGCTATCTAAATCAGGTTTATGGGGCATGCACCTGTCAAGGAGAACAGACTAACTGTAGTTATGATCTTTTCTGACTAATTTAATAAATGTTTTTCCAGACAGTATTCTAATTTTCTGTACCAATGGCAGGCACAGAAATGGCAGGGTAGTAATTTTACATCTTTTAATTTTATACACACACACACACACCAGAAGACAGCGGTAGTGATAGATGCAGCAGTGCCAAGTGACAGCAGCATCAGGAAGAAGGAGCATGAGAAGGTGAAGAAGTACCAGGGCCAAGGAAGAACTAGAGAGGATGTGGAAAGTAAAAGCTAAAGTGGTTCCAGTGGTGGTGGGAGCACTCCGGGCCGTGACTCCTAAGCTGGGAGAATGGCTCCAACAGATCCCAGGAACAACATCAGAGCTCTCTGTCCTGAAGAGAGCAGTGGCTGGGACATCTTAGAAACTGCACAGAACCCTCAAACTCCCAGGCCTCTGGTAGAGGACCCGAGACTGAGGAAGACACATACCACCTAGGGGTGAGAGGGGAATTTTATTTATATATGTGTATGTGTGTGTGTGTG